CTCCAATCGACCTACCTGGCATGGTAGGACCTGCAGGAACATATGTTCCAGCCAGTATAGCTCGGTTGGGTCATCACGATAGGCAAGCCCGACCACCACGTCAAGGTAGCAGCTTCGGTCGGTTAAATTGAAGCGTTTAGTGTCAAACAGTGTTTTATTCCTGCCCACATCACACATATATGCAACTAGAAACTTTTATACATTGGACTTAACATTGTCAAAATGTTATCAACTTACATACTGCTAAAAACATTGAATAATGAAGTAAATATAAGCCCGACTGCGAACATAGATTTCATTTTAACCTTTTGTGGTAAATTATTAATTAGAATAAATTTAAGTTACCATAGATAGCTCCCGATTAATGTTTTTGAAACGTTCTTCTTGCTTCTCTAAAGAGTATTTAAAAGTGTAAATGAGATGGGTAAAAATCACCTAAACGCTTTTTGGCAGTACGATCGATAGCTGACTCCGTAACATCTCGTTGCTTCTCCACTTTAAAGGCATGATAAAATTACAGGCAAAAATACTTACAACGTTTGGATTGCTTATCTACTTCAGCTTTTAGTTTCTGGTATTTTTCTGTTCTATATACAAAAAGCCATGTTAAGCCTACAATGACAAATTACATTTAGAAAGTTATTGTTACACATCTATACCTTCTCCCAAAAATGCTGTGAAGAAAGATATGCATATGATTGAAAGCGTATCTTGCAGCATTTTGTTCCAGTGCAAATGCAGGAGGACACTTGTTCGGCTACAAAACAAAAAATACGACTAGAATATTAAATGAAGACAGAATCAATAAAAAGTCACTCATTTTGTAAAAAGTACTAACGTCTACACGTCAGTTGTTAGATTGTTGCCTACTCTTCATAAGCCCAGGTCACACATAGAATCAATGCTATTAGGTCAACTACTTGCGTACCACAATAATACGAGACCTTTTAAACGACTATAATGAGTCTTTACTGAGGCACATAATTTGGCTCTTGGTGACAGTACGATTGTCTTGAAACTTCAAGGTGAAGTGTTGGACGCCCCCAAATCTCCAGAATGCCACATTTGTTTAGCATAAATTTCGTTTCTAGTTAGTAATCTTAATGATTTGAAGTATTGAAACTTCAGCTGAGGTGGTTGGGACGTGTGTTACGTCTGTCTAATCACCGACTACCTCGACGGGCGATGTTTTGTGGTGTAGGAGTAGGTTGGAAGAAAACTAGGGGCGGCCAAGCCATAACATGACACAAATCCATGGAATCACTAACAAGTGGACTAAGCCATGTTGATGGATGCAGGCAACCTGGTTGTGGTCCGCAAGACGAAATCAACCGATGGTTAGAGACCTTGAAAGACATGGCTCAAAACCGTTTGCAATGGCGCAGCTGCATTCATTCTGTTTTAACCCAAATCCTAATCTTATTATTTCTCATGACTGCTTCTCCTGTTTTTTTTTTAAACTGATTCCTCTGGGGTATACATCTCGAGTGACATATACTTCTGCTACCTCTACTACTGTGATTTGATTTGCTGCACTGTATCTCCGTTTTGCATTTCAACAGATGTGTATCGTTTATGATTTCTAAAGATTTAAAAGTTACAAGAAATTACTGTTTGACAGGTTGGATTGCAATAGAACGTAGATGCTAGTGTGGAAAATGATACTTTGAAAGTAACCGAATAAAAGTTAAACACAAAGCTCCTTTTGAGCGTCACACTACCAGGTCGTCATTTTACTAAGTGTATATCTATCCCCACGAATTATTCCAATTAAAGCTTGATTTGAGTGACTCACTGCCGACCACGTGTAGTTGTGCGTCTTTATAAAATTTTAGGAATTGTATTGTCATATCACAATTCGTTTTACAACCAGACATTGGTTCCGCGTCGGTTAAAAAGTAGTGCAAGGACGCTCATACACTTGATTTCCACTCGATTATTAATGGTAAGAAAGTCAAGGTGCAAGAACTTTTAAACGAATTTTTTGGGACGTTCATAAGTCAAATGTCTATCAAACAAGATTTCTATTGCATTGTCGACCATCCAGTACCGAAGACGTTTTAACTTTGGTCAAACCCAATAGACCAACACAGGATAGATTGAGTATTATTAATATTTTAATAACGAAAATTTTGATTACGTGTCAATATATATACTAATCCGACATCTAAATTTATGACAAATGATTAGTACCCGAATATATAAAAAAATGAGGACTTAATATTCGACCGATAACTTGAATAATCAAAAAAATTTATGGTGACAAAGCTCGTTTAGAAAGTAAGTACGATGTATATTACCCTCACCAATGAAGTACGACTCCAGCCGCCACAAAACAGGATTCAAATTGACCGCTTGCCTTCAATTTCATCTAACCACAAACACTGTTGTGCTGAGGTTATTGGTTAACAGATTTCTCAAGAAATTTTCTGTATACATAAGACGGTTTAATCCGTTTTATTCGTGGGGAATCTGAAATCACTATACATTTAGTTGGTTTCACATTGTTGTGAGCAGGATAAAAATGTTTCGTAGAAAGGTTTTATATAACTAGTAAGTGTCGAGGTGAGTAACTGCTCAAAATAAAGAAACACGTGGAGGTTGATAATGATCTTACCGGCAACAATGGATATTATCTGAGGTTTTTAAGTTGGGCATTGTATCCTGAGGTGAAATGCATCATTTCAGTATGGTAGAAATTCACTCATCATTCATCGGTTTTTGAATAAGTGTTTGTCCTCTCAGTCATTATCGTCGTATTTCCTGTCTTTTATATGAATATTATTAAATTTGTATCCGAATTAATTATTAGTGATAGTGAATGAGGAAATGAAACTAGAAATTATCTGATTTATTACCAGTAAACCCAAAGTAGATTTTAGGGTCAGTTAAATGTTGCTGGGTCATAGACAAATCATCTGGCAGCAAATTGGTGAACGCATGTGGAAGTGGTTTGTCCTTTTTCGCTTGCTAAATGTCAATACTAATATCTTCTGTTGAGTTTTGAGGATATTTGTTCTAACCAGCAACACAGTTATAACGATATCATAATCCAAACTAAGTAGCGACGGTGACGCGTAACCTCGACGCAAGGTTTGAGGTAGCACGATTCCTATACAACATTTTGCTCTCATAACCATTGATATAGGTCACTCATGACAATGATTTACAGTCCAAACGAGGCAAAGATATTCTTTCGTGAAAAAATGATATATTTCAGCCAACTCTTTTAGAACGTGAATGGAAATATTAATTGATATTTGGTGGGAGTGTTAATAACAACTGCGATGGCTGAAGAGACATGTTGTTATCAATTTGGACACTTTTATTGCTTTTCGTAACATCTAATAAATCTCAGTCCTCTAGTTTTTATATGACGAAGACTGTATACCCACAAAAATGACCTAACAAATGCAAACATGAGGAATATGAAAAAGCGTTCGCAATGGTTATTTCAGGAACATCTTCGACCGTAGCGCAACTCGGAGAAATCAGTAAACTAACTGTTTCGTGGAATTTGTTTGACCATCGCATCCAGCTTACTGAAAGCTGAGTATCAACTTCTGGAGTCCTCTTCACTTATAATGATGTTCTTTAATGATGAAAAAAGAGGGCACTGTGGACCGAAACACACAAGAAGCAGTCAATCAAAAGCTAGCATTTATCTCAATATGGAGTGGTAAACGGTAATTTTTGAAGCGAATTCTGGGGTAGTGACTTCGAAACTCATTTTAGTCTGGTTCATTTAGTTTTACTTTATTTATGCAATGGTAGTATTTCTTTCATTTCAAAAGGATTAGAAAAAATTTACAGTATATTTGATCTACGCAGGCGATGAAAATATCTCTAGGTCTATTAGAAGCAAACAGGATTCGATTGTGCTTCAGAGAGACCTTAGATCTGATGAGGATTGGGCAGTCAAGAACGGTTTGAAAGTCAACCAGTCAGAATGTCACGTTGTGTACAATCTTCCACACATAACGCAAAAGACTTACATCCTAAACGGAAGTCTGCTGCTTAATGTTTTCCCAGAGCGCGATCTCAGTTTAACAACCACCAAAAGCGTCCACAGCAGTTTGAACTACATAGATGACGCAGCCAAGGCTAATGCAACTCTTCACAATGCTAATGAAACTTGCTTCTGTCACCCCGGCATTATTATTCGCGTTGTTTAAGACATTTATGCAGCCACATATGGAGGTTCGCAACGTCATCACATCCTCTCTTCATAAAAAAATACATAAATCTCGATTGTAGAGACGAGAAACTAATTGGGTGTTAGGTTTCGGAAATATGCCTAACAAAGACTCCAACATTTAGGATTATTTCCTCTAAGTTACATTAGAACCAGAAGTGATCTGATTACGGCATACAACATATAAGTTACGCCGAATCATAACAACATGAGCACCTTGCCTAAACATCACCACTACGCTCCTCAAGTTAATCCTCGAAAAATTGCACATCAAAGAGCGAACACCCAGGTTCATGCACACTTTTTCGCACCAAGAATCGTTGCAACTTGGAATTCTCTCCCAGCCGGAGTGAACACAACCCCCTCAGTGAATAGCTTCAAGAAGATACTAGATGAGCATGCACTCACATACGGTTAATCATCTCTGTCGTGGACCAGCTGTGCCTGATGCATGTCTCGGGATCTGCTAGTTGTTATTATTGCCATCTTCACAGATCACTAACTTAATATATCAAGCTTATTACTTCTGTTTCCTCTTCCTGTCTTGCATTCCTGTCCTCTTGCACAATCTTCACCACCAATATTTAAACTAAATTATCCAGTTATTTACTTAGTTCTGAAATCTTCTCATTATCCCTAGAACCTTCTCTTTACTATTCTCCAATTTGCAGCTAACTTGTCTTCTGCCTGTTAACGTGTTAGCTGCTGGTATCCAGAAACACTACTGACCTGAACCAAACGTACTCATTTAAATCACGGAACATGCAAATTCAAACTACTGCCAACTGACTAGGATTAGTGCAGTCGAGTGCCTAGACAAAAATCCATTAGACACTACCAAACATCTGCAATCGTACCGAAAGAACAAGAATGGAGCACAAAGAAATCAATTGGTTCACACTAGCTCATGAAAAAATTGGATGGTGTATACTGGCCGCCACATTCTAAGTTTACGGAACCTGTTTGGGAGTCATAATGTCTGTACGTTAATTTGGAAGATATTTATATTATATTTGGCTTATTCTGACAATTCTGATCTCCCTAGTAACTAATTAGGTTTGTTTCAGTTTTTTAGGTTCCATCGTTGCGGTAATCATCCCCAGCCGACAATTTCGTAGGTCCGAACAGGATGTGGCTGCGGACTTTCTTTATATTCTAAACTCCGTATATCTCTGTATTGATGACCGTTATTATAGAACATGGGTCACAATTTCTTTATCATTCAAAATATTTGATGGTTCGTACAATCATAAGATTTGATATATATATATAGCTGGTATAGTCATAGAATTATTTAAACAGTTAATCGATAAGGCTAGTCAAATGATTACGTGCGTAAATGGCAAGTAATGCACAAGCATACATGCGCATACAAACTTCACAATGATAAAAGTACAAAATATATGTGAGGTACTATAAGGATACTGTTTTACCTATACTTAAAATTTGGGTCCAATATTTAAAAATCATCAAGCATTACAATATGTGACCACAAAGGTGATTCACTCAGTAGCAAAATACACTTGAGTTAACAATTTTTATTGAAACTAAAGGTTAATATCATTAAATATTTGACAGCTGACTAAAACCAATTTCGGACAACTAAATAGACATAATCTCCGAAGTGTAGTTCAAAACCGTATTCATAAGACAGTATCTACAAGTGTTTTGCAACTAGCAGATCATTTTTTAAGCCAATGAATTATGTCATGTCATCAACCTTGGAAATTCTTGATACGACAATAATTCAATAACCAAACATAATATATGCTATGACACTAAGTTGACTCACTATACAAAGTTTATTGGGTAGTGGCTTTAAAAATCTGCCAGTAAAGAGGACGGCCTTTAGGGGAGTAAAATTAACTTGGTAATTTTATGCTGTCTAAATTATAAAACGCGGTCCAATGGCTTGGAGAAATCGCGTCTGTTAACAAAGAAGCTGCTACCCTCCTTCGTACATACCTTACCATTCTGTCCTTTTGGAACGTTTTCAATGGTGGGCTTTTCTCATTGTCATTGCTACCACAACATTTTTATCCCTCACGATTCTTTTTCGTTAGTTTCATATTGTTGCGTCAATATAATATGTCAAACTGGTTCAACGCATATCTGTGACAGGTTCTACTCTGATGCCAACTGGTTGAGTAAAACTGACAGTATATTAAGGCAAGTAATTCATTACCAGATCGCAGACCTGACACGTCTAATTTTGTAGCTGATTTAGAATTTCTCATGCTAACTTTCTTATTCGTGAAAGTTTATTTTGTCAAATTTTAACACAGCTTGGTCTTGATTTTAATCTGCCGTATGAGGCTTCATGAACCAGACTAAGGTCATGTTTTTTGGTAACTCATCTTTTACTTCACATCATCGTTGTTGCATCTCTAGCAAGTTAATACAACATGAAAAACCCTCCGAAAATGTGTAGATTTTTGTAGGAACTATATAGTTGACACCTTTCTCAATGCTGTAATCACTACTTCATTTATACTGACAGTGATATCAACATTGGTTTTTTAAGGCGATCGGAAGTCTGATTTGCCACTGGTTAAAAGAACTAACCACACAGAGTCACTTAAGTAATATGGGATATCCAAGTAATTAGTGGCTTACAAAGTACATATATTCTGACCATTTTATTTTATAAGCTTCTGCAAGCCTGTTAATATCTTTTGTCGATTTCTGGCATCATATACTTATTGGTTGGGGGCTTAGTTCTTAAGGCACTAGATTATCAACTAGAAAATAGAGAATTCTAAACCTAGCTAACTTCAGTTTAGCCTGTGGATAATTCCGTCGAATCACACAGACATGGCTTAATAAGTGAGTTACCTAATTTCATTATTTGTCGTTTTATAGTCAAATTCATTTGATGAACTGCTATACTATGTTCTACCAATATGTTAACTTTTCTATTAAGTGCTTACTAAACATACTTCTGATGATCAAACCATTTTTACTGTTTACTTGTTAACTTGTGAACCAGTTATGACGAGTTTATTTTTACTTAACCTATACTTTTAAAGATTTACCATTCAGAATATGTATCTGCACCAAATACTGTTGGAAATTTGGCACTGCTACCTTTACGGACAAAATTTCGAGGACCTGCACCTATGAATCCAGATTTGGAAAAAGATATAATTGACGAAGCTCTCTATCTTTTCAAATCGCTTATATTTTTTCGACAGTATGAACTAAAAGTAAGGTTATATTCTAATCGTCTAATTTGAGTCAATTTCACGATTTTGTTGCCTTCTCAGTGTTTCTAATACACTCAAAAAACGTTCTGAAAATAGTATTATTTGAAGTATTGCAATATTGTTTGCGTTCTTTATTTGTGCATGAGCAGTGTAGTCCAGCACATTATTATATGGGGTGCTGATGTTATTGTAGTGTATTGTCAGTCAGTCAGTAACAGCGTAGAACTTTATGCATACGTACATCAGTTCAGGTTGCCATACCGCATCAACACAGAGATGCAACTGTCATTTCACAATCTCATAGTGGTAGAGATAGTAGAAGTATTAGCAGTAATGCAGGAACTTACTGTTCGAAGATATGATTCGAGAAGTATAATTCAGTGAGATAACTTTAGAAAGAGAAACATAGAGGTGATGAGGAATTTAGATTAGAATTTGAGAGAACACAAAGAATGGATGCACCTGCGCCATTGAAAACAAATTTGAGCAATGTCGTCTAAGGTCGCTAACTGTTGGTTACTATCATCAGGGATTGGAACCAGGCGGATGCGGTTACTCTCAGTTCCCAGGTTCTACCTAAGATCTCAGTCAATCTAACTGCTAAAACTGGACCATCTCTCGAAATCTTAGGTGTAAGCCTGTCAGGCCCTGCTGCTGTCCCTTGCTTCAGATTTCGTAGAAGATCTGAGCTGTGACGTCCAGCATAATTATTATGTTCTCCAAATTAAACGTTGTCAGATGAAAAATTATCAAAAGGAAATCTTATCATTACCGCAAGGAAACGCAAAGAAATACTGTAACTGTTTCATAAATTTAATATCAATAAGCGACTCTCACCCATATTCCAGTTATCTAAATCATGTATAGTAATCATAGAGTTATGATATTAATAATATTGACCAGTCCATGTTTCAATGTGCTAAAACGTTAAATTGATTTTCTTAACACCATACTAACATCTGACTTCATTGCTACATTTTCATGTTCTGGATTTGTATAATGTTAGCGTTTCAAATACCACAAGTATCTTGATCATTTTACTATTATTCATTTAACGGCTGATATGCTAATGCATTCAAACTTTTTTTAAATACTGTGGCTCCCAATTCCAGTTTGCGCAAATCGTATTTCCTTTTAGTTACTCTTATTGACCTTATGGGATATTGAATGCTGGAGTTGTTTGTCACGTGATATTAACAAAGTAGCAGATATCAAGCTAACTTTGAATACTGTTCAATATCCATTATTAGTGAGTTGTTTTTTTTTCGATCAACAGCAACGTAGAACTTAGTACGTACACTAATTCAAGTTGTCATACCACAACATTAGCACACAGAGATGCAATTGACAAATCATATCCTATAGTAGTAGAGGTAGTAAAAGTATTAGCAGTAGTCGGAGAGATTAGGGTTCGAGGATATGATTCAATAATTAGAATCTATTGAAATAAACTTAAAAAGAAAAAGATAAAGGTGATGAAGAACTCCGAAGGTTAGGATTATTTATTTGTGTTTGTCGCACTTCAGTGAAACTTTTCAATGTATATTTATTAAAATTTAACTTTATTTTATTGTTACTTTCTTATCACTCAGAGTGAAGCTGATCGTGTTCTTGTTTATCTCGTTTTATATATATTGGAATGTTTAAGAAAATTACAAAAAGTATGTTTATAAACTTATCTTCATTTTGATAGTGTTGCAGTGAATTTTTGATAAAAATGTCATTTTCTGAACTAGATAGTTTAATGAGGAGACTTGACCGGAGGAGATTATCGTTAGCGACCTCATATTTTCTGGTTGCTTGTAGAATACATTCTCTACGCCTTATCAAGACTTCTTGGGCCGGGGACAATTGGATGAGAGTAGCCTATCGTGTCACTGTATCGTTGACCTTCGTTCCATTTACCGAGTAAGGTAAACTCGTAATAGCATTCAAGCATATCAAGACTACAGGTTCGAATTCTACTCAATTTACTTAGATTTAAGCGATTGGGTAATATCATTTGATCTCACATAAATAATGTTGCTCCAATCTGAGTTCATATACTCGTACCTAATAAATGAGTTAAACTGCATTTGAAAATTAACACTCTTAGTGGGGCATAGTTGGATTAAAGCATGATTATGTTGTTGCACGCTGATAGGCTGTTCCGTATCCAATCAGTGCTAGTCGATACTTGGGGAACATTCTATAATCTTCTCATGTAAATCTATAAGTCTACTAATGTTTTGAACTTCTCTAACTTCCATCTAACCTGATTATTGGAATAGAATTAATCTCTTTCCTGTTCAACCGTGTTCTGATTTGTGAGAACATCTCGAGTGAATAAATTGGTATCCAAGAATACTAAGCTGGGTTGTAATAAAGGTATAATTATAACAAACACCTAGGATAAAACACATTTTATTGGATCTCATGGTTTAAAAATGCCAAATCTAAATCATTCAGTGACTACAGACAATATCTAGTTGTCATACGTAAAAAAACAAATAAACATTTTATTGTTGTTAAATAAACAATGTGGTTGGTACTGGATTTCATTTCACACTATAATATAATCAATTCCTATCTTAGTTTACCACTAAGTATCTTTAGTCTATCATACTTACTTACTACACGATAAAATGCATTGATTTTTTATTTACTTTTTTTTCTTTTGTGTAAATTGATAAACATTCCATCATTCTATATCAGTTTTACTTTATCTACCTACATAAGTCTTGTTCATTTTTATTTGGTTTTTGATTGTATTTAACAATATGCACAACATTCTATTTCTAGATACAAATTGCTGAATTCATCACACACACACTCACACGTCACCAAGCATTAATAACAAACACACTGCTCTAAGATAGATGATGATCAGCTTATACACACACATTGGTTGTGATTTTAATTTTGGAAACCTGTTATTGATAAGAATATTAAGAGTATTATTATTATTATTATTATTATTATGAGTAAATGATTGAAGATTTTGCATGTTTAGCCGTAAATTGACCGTTATATCAACTAACGGAGAACAAATAACTAAGCATCATCACTTGAATTAATGAATTCAAAAGAAACAAAACAAATATTTATTTATTGCATCAAAGAATTTCATATTATCATGGTTAATTGTGTTCTTCTCTATCAGTCAGATGCAGTGAGTTCGTTGTGGAGAGAGAAGAGAGGTGTGTGTCGGTGTAGGAAGGATTTGATTGTGACTGATTCGGTCTCGTGTGTGTTGTTACGGGTATGAGGCCAGTTGTCACTTCCCGGTTGCCCACACCGTGGAAGGTTGTTTCTTGAGGGACCTGAAAAGGAAGGCAGATTAGTGTTGGTCTTGGAGACCTGGGTGCGTGACCGCAGAGTCCAAGGGATAACTGCTTGAGGCCGGTCACGCACGGCCTTTTTATGAAAGGTTTTTTGAGGATTAGCTCCGCTCTTAAAGGCCCTTAGTGGGCACCCTTACCGCCGGAGACGGAAATCCGTGAGGTAGGGTGAGGCGTGACATTTTAGGGTCGACCTTTTCCAACCCTTCCTTCTTTGTGAGAAGGCAGCATCGCTGCAGATGCTGGTTGTCCGAGGGAAACACCTTACTGCTGTCACACCCCTCTGCAGTCAGTCAGCAGTACGACTTCGCCCTCAGACCTTGAGTAGCTGCTTTTAGTCTCATCGTTCTCCAATCGACCTACCTGGCATGGTAGAACCTTCAGGAACATATGTTCCAGCCAATATAGCTCTGTTGGATCATCACGGTAGGCAAGCGCGACCACCACGTCAAGGTAGCAGCTATGGTCGGGGTTCTTCTCTATGCTCGTCTACCTCTCTCTCCTCTACACACAGTAAATCAAATTGTTCCAATTAATTATGACGCGTTTTATTCATTCTTGGTCTTTGGAAAAAATGTTTGTGCATTGGAATTTGTTCACTGCCAAACCTAGAAAAGAATTGTTTATATATGTATATACTGCCCTAATCGTCTATGTAAAAATCAATATTTTCACATGTGTTGATCCAATCAGTCTTTTGGATGTGAATACTTGGACGTATTATCTAACCATTCATAGCTTGCTTTTTTTTTTACCAAAAACTCTTTAAAATAAACATTTTTCACGTATTCTGTTTTAGCGATACACTAAGCTTTACTGGCTTGTGGTCTGACTTCAATTTAGACAAACAATTTGTAGTGAAATAGAACACAGGTGGGGCAACCGGATTGTATTTAGCGAAAATTACAGAGTTACTCAGTATAATAGGGAAAACCATATCGTAAATTGTTCATTTGCAAAATATCAGTTCATCCTATCAAACTGGACTGTTCCTGTTGCAAAACATCAATCCATTGTCACTATTCATGCGTTTCATACAAATTGCATTGTTTTCTAACTCTTCCTTTCTTGATCTTCCCCCAATTTTCAAGAGTGTGAAACAATTATTCACATAAGGCAGTGGGAAATGCTTGTACAGTATGATGAACTGATTCAAGTTAGACATTTTTACATGGTTGAATCCCAGCTTCTGCATGTGTATAGTGGAACAGTTTCATACTAGATGAAAACAGTTGTCCAGTACTTTCTGGCTTCTAATAGAAGTCCAGTTAAGATTCATCTTTAACATAAATTGTCAAAATATCACTGAGAAGTATGCGGCTGAGAATAGATAAAAAATCAATATGCTCGAATAGTAATGAGACAATTATCAGCATTAACAAATCGAATTTCCCAATCTGTATTTTCTTGCTGATGTTGCTATCGATTAAGCCAATGAAAACTTTACGAATAAGTCAGTCAACTCCCAGATCATAATACCTAAGCTACAAATCTTCTATCGATCCCTCCCTCACTATCCCTCTCTCAATTCATAGTTATATTGTAGTGAACGAGAACACAGGTGAGGCAACCGAATTGTATTTAACGAAAATTACAGAGTTACTCAGTAAAATTGGAAAACCATATCGTAAATCGTTAATTTGCAAAATATCAGTTCATCATATCGAACTGGACTGTTCCTGTTGCAAAACATCAATCCATTGTCTGACATTTCACTCACTATTCATGCGTTTCATACAAATTCCACTGTGTTCTAACTCTTCCTTTCTTGATCTTCCCCCATCTTCTGCTGTCAGACATTACGTTGACACTCACGTCACATACTACTTATAAGTAGCTCGCACCACAAATTGAATATGCTATGAAATAAGTTTTTCCTTCAATTTTTGTATATTATGTTTAGGCGAATCCCATTTGTGCAACTGTGGTAATAAAGAAACTAAATGCGAATTTTGTGAATGAGTTGATGTCATGCAATTGTTCACGCAGACAAACAGCGAAGCGAAATGGAGAAGGCGAATGAGTCAGTCAATTCAATGCAATGGGGCGTGACTAAGTGTTTATTATAGTCTGATAAAAATAGGCTTGATAATGTGACAAATGAAGTAGAGCAATAATACACCATGCACTCAAGAAAAAACAATCAAGATGTAGGCGAGTGATTAACACGGTCTAAAGGTGTGCAAATAGTAACTCAGGCAGAAAAGATCAATTAGTTTGTGCAAAAGCTGGGACAAACCATGCGGACCCCAACATCATATTTAACGCATACACTACAAAACTCTTTTCATTACATTCTGATAAATAACTAATAGTTTATATTTCACTACCTTATCTTCCATACAACTTTCATGTATCACAATTGGAAATGTCACTTTGAAGCTGATTATAGTTTCAATCATGCTCGTGTTTTATACTTTTCATATTTTAAGATATTTTCATGATAAATTCTAAATTTTATTTTACCAGTGTCCAAACAGAACTATTGGAGCTAAAGAATTATCTGCGATGGCTATAAGTCGTTTCGATTTACCAGGTGATCCAGATTTTCCTCGAGAATTAAACAGTATGTATGCTAAACCGAAAAATCCGTCAGAAATGGAAACAATGCGTGGTTATTTAACTCAATTAAGACAAGAATTAGGTGTTAGACTATTGGATAAAGTTTACTGTGATGATAATAGCCCACCGAGTAAGGTAAGAAAGTAATTTTTCAATTAGAGTTTAAAGAGATCATTGTTTTTACACACAGAAATCATGGATCAATCATTGTTAGACCACCATTAGAAACCTGGAAGCATTGGACGGTCGTTTCGTCCCGGCATGGAACTCATCAGCAGTGCGTATCCACCACTCCTGTTACTCACAGGCTTCGAACTCTATACCTTCGGTTTTGCGCGTGAACGCCTAACCTCTGGACCACTGGACCGGCTTCCAGATTTCTAATGGTGGTCTAACAATGATTGATTCATGATTTCTGTGTGTAAAAAATATAGTTGTTTGTGAAAGTTGCTTTTTTCATACTTTATATGCTGTCATATTATCCAACTTCTATATCCTCAAATAAATATGATCACTAAATCTTTAGGTCAGCTAATGGTTATTTCGCTTTACACCAATAATAGTAATGACCTTCGCTCAACTTATATATTTACCTACTAAGTGTTCGAACGCCTATTGACCACCTACCCGAACCCTTTCTTTCCCCAGCCTGCTAAATCAGAACACGAGAAGGACACACGGATCCAGGTTCTGTGATTATGATTCAGATACTTACATAATGATGGTATACATAAATTAAAAGACCACAACGCATCATAAATAGGGGATCACAATCTATGCACATTATAGCTGGGTAATTTGTGGTACAAAACTGAGTAACAGGTACATAATTAATTGATAAATTATAAACGATATAAAAACAATTAGGAGGGTGTAAAAATATATCTTGAATCAAACATTTAATAAATGCGTTGAAATCACGAACCATTCTAATCTATATTATCATTGAAATCTGGGAGCACGAGGTGGCTGTTTCGTTCTAGTCTTGAATTCATCATCATCACATGCGGGAATCAACTTACTTACTTACTTTCGCCTGTCACCCCCGTTGAAGCGTAGGTCGCCGACCAGTGTTCTCCAACCTACTCTGACCTGAGCTTCCCTTTCCAGTTCTGTCCAAATTTTGTTCATTCTTCTCATATCTCTCTCTATTTCCCGCGTAATTTGTTTGTTGGCCTTCCTCTTTTCCTTTGACCTTGAGGATTCCAAGTGAGGGCTTGTCTTGTGACGCAGTTCGGTGCTTTCTGCAGTGTGTCCTACCCACTACAAGCGGTTATTCCTGATTTCCTCCTCCACTGGAATCTGGTTTGTTCCCTTCCACAGTATGTTGTTGCTGATGTTGTCTGGCCAACGAATCCGAAGTATTTTGCGTAGACAACTGTTAATGAATACTTATATCTTCTGGATGATGGCTTTCGTAGTTCTCCAAGTTTCCACTGCATACAGTAGAACTGTCTCGACATTTGTATTGAAAATGCTGATTTTGGTTTTGGTTGAAAGTTGTTTGGAGTTCCAGATATTTTTCAGCTGTAGAAACACAGCCCTTGCTTTGCCAATCCACACCCTCGCATCTGCATCGGATCGACCTTGATTGTCGATGATGCTGCCTAGATGTGTCAAGGTGTTAACGTCCTCCAAGGCATCACCATCAAGAGTGATTTGGTTGGTGCATGTTGTGTTGCATTGAAGAATTTTGATTTAATCATATTCTTAGTAAATTTAATCTAACTTAACCCAAAGAATTTATTTAAAACTGACTGAGCAAATATTTGAACTTTAAATCACAGTGAACTAATAATAATCAATATACTACAATAAAGAAAAAAAAATTCATTGACAATTAAAATAAACTAAAATACAAATGAGAGAAGGAGAGAGAGAGAGAATGCTTTGAAAGGTAACTTGAATGAAAGTCACCTTAAATTCTTAAAATTATTGGCATTTGAGAATTTCACATTCCCAACAAAATATTTTACTTCAAGTTTAAGACTTTTACCGATTGACTGACTCACTAGTGGCTACCAATCAATGCGCGTTTCGTCCTATTTCACATGTATCAGTTGCATGTATGTAGCTGAACCTCAGCGCTAATGTTCAAACACTGTGATTTAAATCTGTTACTTTTCGTTTCGATCACTCAACGACTTATTTACTTAGCTACTGACAGTTGATCGATCATTGGGTAGTGGTGGTCCAGTGTTTCAGGCCCATTTAGATACTGAGCCCAGATAGCTGCTGGCTTTTGTAGTCACTTATTCAGCTGCAACGTAGAACTTGGTGCGTACATACATTAGTTCAAATCGATATGACTCACTAGCAGAGAAATGAAACTGTCAGTTCAAATTCCATAGTAGTAGAGCTAGTAGAAGTATGAGCAGTAATCGGAAAGATTAGGGTTTGAAGAAATTATTCAAGGAGTACAATCTAGTCAAATAAATTTGAGAAGAGAAAGGTGAAGGTCATGAGGAACTCAGATTAGAATTTGGTAGGACACAAAGAGTGGATGCACCTGCGCCATTGCAAACGGTTTTGGACCATTTCATTTAGTCTCTAACCACCGGTTACTATTGTCTTGCGGACTCCAACCAGGTAGTCTACACCTAATAGCATGGCTCAGTCCTCCAAAGCTCAGAGAACGAAACTCCACAATCATCCATCTGAGCTACAAATTCCCTCGACCATAGCTCAGCCCAATTGTCAATGACATCATGGGTTGGTTTGGCCGGTTCTAGCCTACTCCTACACCACAAAACATCGCCCGTCGAGACAGTCGGTGATTGAGCGTATGTAGCACATGTCCCTACCACCTCAACTGAAGATCTACTACTTCATCAATTGATCTACCCTCCTTACTTAGTAGTACCCTATCCCTAACCTCAACATTGCTTATTCGATTGTCCCCAGGATATACGAGCAATGCTTCGAGGACACCTATGATCGATAGCTTGTGTAACCAAGTGAATGTTTATTCATTTTGTAAGGCTTGTTTGAATCTCCTCGTTTTCGATGTTCAGAACTACAATTAGTCAATTCCTTTTGGTATATGTGCATCCTGTTTTTATTGCCTTGATATTGCCATTAATTGTTCATAAACTGACTGAGCAATTAACAGGATCCCACATGTTCTTCACGTATAAGTGTGGATATTTGTTTTTGATCGGGGCTATCTATCTATCTATACAATGATGAAGTACACATATCTTATTGATCTAGAACAGATCACTGAGATGGAAGATCATCGAGATTTTCCCATATAGCAAGCAAGTTGATAAAATTAAGAATGTAAGCCAAAGTATTCCAACGTTTGACCGCTTAGTTACAGTAGTAGCATAAGATTTATTTATGCTTACAAACTATCAAAAAATAAAGGAACTGAACCGCTCGATAAAAATCAGCACAGCAATTGATTGTTGATATAAAGGAATGATAAATAAACAACCAGTAACCTAACCTGTAGAATGCAAACTCAACAGTTGATAATAATACACACCTTGTGGTGGCCGATATCAGGGTGTTCCTAAGCTTCGTAATTAGCTCGTCCAGACAATCGTTATTAAATAGCGTCTGACAGTTTATAAATCAGAAGGTGAACTCGAAGTGTTGAATACGTTTATTTTGGTACACCACAAATAGGGATAGCAGACCACAAGCGCAGACTGGGCAGGCACACTAGCGAGTGAATGTGCGAATGCATTAATAAGATATAAAATGTTCGTATATATACAAAGGAAAATGTCTGCTGAGTCATCGAGGTATTTAAGAGATTAACATTAAAGCGAATAGGATGAGTATGAGCGTAAATGGTAAGCACAATGCTCAGTCGTACAAGCTCATAAAAACCAGACAATAAAAAATACCAATGGTACATATGGGTTGTTGCTATACAAATAGAGTGGTTACATAAGTTAATCGAAAAGGCTTAATCAAATTAAATATGAGCGAACTCAAGTTTATGTGAAGGCACTACAACCTCTAATCGGTGTTATTCTTATATGTTAATTTTATCTGTACTATTTCTAATTGTTTATTATTATTATTTTTATTTATAGTGGTGGATGTGTTTTGGCAAACGTCGTTTCATGGATCAATCTTTAACACCATTGGGAGTTTTTTAAAGAAACACTTTTTTTATACACTCAAATCTGTGACCTTTTCTAAGTTGTTGTTGTTGTTTTTCTCCTATGATTTTTCCTTTCTAATTTTTCTGACTTAACATTCTGAAGTTGTATATTTAATTAGATTAATTATCAAATAAATTTTTTTACTTTGTTTGATATTTTTTACTGATGTCAGATAATATTTTCAGTCATTCAGTCAGTTAAAATGTAGAACTTCGTACGTACACGTACACCAGATCACGTTGCCATACCACATTAGCACAGAGATGTAATTGTCACTTCAAATCCAACAGTAGTAGAGGTATTAGCAGTAGTCAGAGAGGCTAGGATTAGAAGATATTAGTCAAAAAGTAGGATCTAGTGAAATAGACTTAAAAAGATAAAGTGATGAAGAATTAAAAAGTTTAGTGTTTGAGAGAGCACAAAGAATGAATGCGCCTGTGCCATTGAAAACGATTTTGAGCCATGTCATTCAGGGTCTCTAACTATCGAGTACTAACATCTCGTGGACCCCAACCAGGAAGTCGACACCCGCCGGCATGACTCAATCCACTTGTCAGTGACTTCATGGATTTCTGCAATGTTTTGGTTTGGCCGCCCCTAGCTTTCTTCCAACCTACTCCAAGACCGTAAAATAGAGCTCGACGAGGCAGTCGGTGGTTAGACATACGTAACACATGTCCCATTTACATCAACTGACGAAGTTTCACTACTTCATCTATCGATCTGCCTTCCATACCTAGCACCTGTTTCATAATAACAGCATTGCTCAGTAGGTTGTCCCAGGATATACGAGCAATGCTTCGAAAACCAGTAACCTACGAATATCCTTTACTCTCATTGACCTACGAACATCTACTCTTAACGGCCATGTTTAGCATCCGTATAGTAGGACGGAGCGAACTACTTCGCAGTACACCCGTCCTTAGTCAGCAAACGGATATCTCGCATACGCCATAAGTGACACAGGTTGGCAAAAGCCAATCGAGCCTTCTGTATCCGAGCTGAGATTTCGTCAGTCACCAGGGCATCAGCACTGATGAGACTCCCCAGATAAGTGAAGCGGTCTACACGTTCGACTACTTCACTCCCTATCACTAGTTCAGGTGCCGATGCAGCCCAGTCTTGAAGCAACATTTTGCACTTCGAGAGTGAGAACCGCATCCCAAACATGCTTGCATTGTTGCTTAGGGTGGTCAGGAGACTCTGCACTCTGTCAGCGTCTTCACCAAGTAGAACTATGTCATCGGCATATTCTAAGTCGATAAGCGAGCCACCTGGTTAAATAAAGGTCTACTCCTGAAAATTCAGACGAGGATAATGTTATGTCTAGGAGCATGTCTATGACAAAATTGAACAAGAATGGAGAAAGTGGACATCCCTGACGGACACCACTTGATGTAGAGAATTCCGATGACAGTTCGCCGTAAGCTCTCACTCGACCAATGGTGTTCGAGTAGAGAGCTTGTATAAGGTCAATGTACTTCTTTGGTACACCTTTCAATGACAGACACTGCCACAGAACCTCACGATCGACTGAGTCAAATGCCGCTTTTATGTCCAGGAAGACAACTATCGTAGGACGTCCAAATGTGTGTCTGTGTTCCAGGACCTGTCGTAGTGTGAATATATGGTATATACAGCCACGTCCAGGTCTGGAACCAGCTCGGTTTTCTCTAGTCTGCTCACCACGAGCTATAGTTAGGCGTCTAAATATAATCGAGGCTAACAGTTTAGAAACTATATTAGTTAGACTTATTCCCCTGTGATTGTCACAAGAAGACTTGTGTTCTTTCTTATAAATTGGGACAATCAGTGATTCAGATCACTCGGATGGGATTAAGTCCAGTTCCCAGATCCTACCTAAGATCTCAGTCAACCTAGTTGATAAAACTGGACCACCATCCTTAAATATCTCAGGGGTCAGTCTATCAGGTCCTGCAGCTCGCCCTCGCTTCAGATTTCCTAACGCTTTCTCAACTTCATTAAGACTAGGCGGACTTACGTCAACTTGCCATTCAGGATGACTGGAGATCGTGGGTAACCGAAGAGTGGCTCGAGGCCAGTTGGACTGATCCCTAAAGTGTTCTGCCCATCGATCCAGTCTCCTGGATTGAGAATAAATAATAGTCCCGTCATTTTCTGAGATAGTCTCACTTAAAATAGGATTCCTAATATCAGTTTCCTTCATAAGTCGGAAAAGTTGTCTACTGTTGCCTATTGCCGCTGACTTTTCCATCGCTTTTGCTTTCGCCACCCACCACTGTTCACGGTCGTTGCGCAGGTTTTTTATCAGCCTGCGCTTAAGCTGACTTCGTTCTTCATCATGTTCAGAGCCAGGTGGGATGAGTTTCCGAGCCTCTATCAGTTTGGTGGATGCTAATGAGATCCGCGGCTTCATTCTAGGCTTATCGTTTACCTTATTATAAGACATAACTGGTGTTTCCACAGCCTTTTTGATATCATTCCAAGCTGCCTCCGGATGGGTCGGGACAGAGACGCAATTGTGAATTCAGTTCCCATAGTAGTGAAAGTAATAGCAGTAGTCAGAGAGATTAGGGCTGCGATCGTAGCTGCTACCTTGACGTGGTGGTCGGGCTTGACTATCGTGATTATCCAACCGAGCTATATTGGATGGAACATATGTCCCTGAAGGTTTTACCATGCCAGGCAGGTCGAGTGCAGAACGATGAGACTAAAAGCAGCTACTCAAGGTCTGAGGGCGAAGTCGTACTGCTGACTGCAGAGGGGTGTGACAGCAGTAAGGTGTTTCCCTCGGACAACCAGCATCTGCAGCGATGCTGTCTTCTCACAAGGAATGAAGGGGTTAGAAAATGTCGACCGTAAAAATGTCACACCCCACGCATTTCCGCCTCCGTGAGGATCGGCGACAACTTCGTAATACTATGTCGTCACTTCTCTCAATAGCTAGATCTTATTAATGAAGGCAGAGATGGAAGTAATAACACAATTTGGACTTGTGCATTTGCAGAATTTTTGTCACTACTGTGTAATATTCTACTCGGAAATTTGTGCTAACTTAGTGTTAACTTGTAGCTCTAAGTTTAGTTCAACATCTGATATCCTAATAGTTTAAAACATCGTTCTCCGGGACTTAATTGTTTCGCTGTTTTCATAAGGATTTCATTGAGCCTTTAGAAAATATCAATAAACGGGTTTATTAACTTACACAATATTTGATAGCAATTTTATGAAACATAAATGTGGAGTCACATGTTATTTATTGGTTGCAAGACAATACTTATGATCGCAGAGGCCTTTACTGAGAAACCCGCTTTCCGCCTATCATTTGAAGTGAACACTGCACCTAAAATTCGCCTAACTCCATGTTTTAATCGAATATTAAATGTTATTGACATTATAGCACAACTGTTATTTGGTTTAGGACTGGCTGAAGTAACATGTCGTCTTAAGGTACCTACTAAACGCTTGAATACCACCTAGAATTGTGATCTATGAAGTAAGCGGACTGTAACCTGGTAATCAAAGCTCACTGTATGCAGTGGTATGCATTCAGAAATCGCTACATTTATCATGCTATCTAAGAAGAGGGTTCTACAATCCTTATCAATTATTTATTTGGTGTTTTGTGTGATAATACTTACAAGTAACAACTCGGTAATGTAACTCGTTTATTGAGTACTCGACTTCGACAACACTTCGTGAGAGGGTTGGTGGCATTGTCCGCCCACTTAGACTTAGGATCCAGAGACTTCAAATATTGAGCACCACTCCATTAAGCAGTAGTGCACTATCAGTCTTCGTACTACATATAATTCGGCACGTCATTGTTGCATCATCGGGCAAAATCTAAGCAGTCTGATTCCTAGTTTTTATTCCTGATATTCCTTTACAGAGTCACGAAGATACGCTGCTTTCCCGAATGCAATTACTTGAGCGTTGGTTCGCAACATGTAGTACCAACTTCACTCACTGTGGCTTACCTGATCAAATATGCACTTCGGTATAATCATAAGTGACTCTGCCTGTAAACCCTTCAGGGCTACTGCCGGTCCCAAGCTCGGACAAAGGAGGGTTGGGCATGGGGTTGGTGACCCCATCCTACCAAAAAACTAACTTGCTAAAAAAACGCTAACGAGAAAAAATAATTCAAACCATTTTAACTCTGCCCTGGGAGTTGGAAGAACAATTATGACGTCTCGTGATGAAAGCCGAGTTCCCTCGGAAGTCACGGGGCCGATGCCTATTCTGAAAACCAGAGCAACCATTCTTTTAGGTACATGGAACGTTCGTACATTGTGGGAGACTGGAAGACTATTTCAAGTTGCGGCAGAAATAAAAAGATACAACCTCGAGGTGCTCGGCATCAGTCAAACGCATTGGAAACATGTAGGACAACTGAGACTAGCTTCAGGGGAACTCCTGTTGTACTCTGGTCATGAAGAGGAAAATGCTTCACATACACAGGGAGTTGCACTGATGCTCTCCAAACATTCACAAAAGGCACTGATAGGATGGGAATCTCATGGACCCAGGATCATTAAAGCACCCTTCAAAACAAAGAAAGAGGACATTACAATGAGCGTCATCTAATGTTATGCACCTACCAATGACCACAACGACGACGTTAAAGATCAATTCTACGAAAGGCTGCAGTCAATCGTCGAAAAATGTTCACCAAAGGATTTGACGATTCTTATGGGAGACCTGAATGCCAAGGTTGGAATGGACAACACTGGATATGAAGACATCATGGGACGACATGGACTGGGAGAAAGAAACGAAAACGGTGAGAGATTTGCAAACCCATGTACCTTCAACAAACTGGTCATCGGTGGCACAATATTCCCGCACAAACGCATACACAAAGCTACATGGATATCACCGGATCACACTACTCAAAACCAGATTGATCATATCTGTATCAACAAAACGTTCAGAAGGACTATGGAGGATGTGAGAACCAGGAGAGGAGCTGATGTAGCCTCAGATCACCATTTGCTAATCGCCAAAATGAAACTGAAACTAAAGAAGCACTGGACAACGGGACAGACAACATCACACAAGTTTAATACGGCCTTTCTTCGTGATACTGTAAAGCTCAATGAATTCAAGATAGCCCTCACCAATAGGTTCCAGGCCTTGCACAATATACTCAACTGAGAGGAAGCAACATTGGAGAACAATGGGAAAGGGATCAAGGAAGCAATCACTTCAACATGTCACGAAGTCCTGGGTCGCAGGAAGTGCCATCACAAGGAATGGATCTCTGTTGGTACTCTCGAAAAAAATTGAAGAGAGGAGGAACAAGGCAGCAATCAGTGTCAGCCGAACAACAGCAGAGAAAGTTAAGGCACAAGCTGTACACACAGAAGCAAACAAGGAAGTGAAGAAGTGCATCAGAGCTGACAAACGAAAATATGTGTAAGATCTAGCAATGACGGCGGAAAAGGCTGCAAGAGACAGAAACTTGAGACAATTGTACGAAACAACAAAGAAGATCGCCGGAAACTATCGTAAACCAAAGGCAAAGTTATCAGCAACACTGAAGAACAGCGAAATAGGAGTGTAGAGCACTTTAAGGAACTCTTGAACCAACCAACTCCGCTGAACACACCCAACATCGAAGCAGCATCCACGGACCTCCCAATTAATACTGGCGCACCTACGATTGAGGAGATCAGTATGGCCATCAGACAAATCAAGAACGGCAAAGCAGCAGGACCAGACAACATTCCAGCAGAGTTAATGAAAGCAGATGTAGAAACAACTGCAAAAATATTTCACATCCTCTTCAAGAAGATTTGGGATGAGGAACAAGTACCATCAGATTGGAAAGAAGGATACCTGATCAAAATACCAAAGAAAGGCAACCTGAGCAAGTGTGAGAACTACAGAGGCATCACTCTTCTTTCAATACCAGGCAAAGTCTTCAACAGAGTATTATTAAACAGAATGAAGGACTTCGTAGACGCCCAACTTCGAGATCAACAGGCCGGATTTCGTAAGGATTGATCATGTAGTGACCAAATCGCAACATTACGGATCACTGTGGAACAATCACTTGAATGGAACTCACCACTCTACATCAACTTCATCGATTACGAGAAAGCATTCGATAGCGTGGATAGGAAAACACTGTGAAGGATTCTTAGACACTACGGTGTGCCTGAGAAGATAATGAACATCATACGGAATTATTATGCGCGATTCAACTGCAAAATCGTACACGAAGGACAGCTAACCGACTCCTTCGAGGGGAGGACCGGTGTCAGGCAAGGTTGCTTACTCACACTCTTCCTCTTTCTCCTGGTGACCGACTGGATTATGAAGACGTCGACATCTGTAGAGAAGCTCGGTATCCAATGGACAGAAAATGGACGAACTGGACTTCGCAGATGACCTGGCTCTCCTACCGCACACGCAACAACAAATGCAAGAGAAGACGACCAGTATAGCAGCAACCTCTTCAGCCGCAGGTCTCAACATACATAAAGGATAAAGCTAAATTCTCCGATGCAACACAACATGCACCAACCAAATCTCTATTGATGGAGATGCTTTGGAGGACGTTAACACCTTTACATATGTTGGCAGCATCATCGACAATCAAGGTGGATCCGATGCAGATGTGAGGGCACGGATTGGCAAAGCTAGGGCTGCATTCCTACAGTTGAAAAATATCCGGAACTCCAAACAACTTTCAACCAAAACCAAAATCAGGATTTTCAATACAAACGTCAAGACAGTTTTACTGTATGCAGCGGAAACTTGGAGAACTGCCAAAGCCATCATCCAGAAGATACAAGTATTTATTAACAGTTGTCTACGCAAAATACTTCGGATTCGTTGGCCAGACACGATCAGCAGCAACGTACTGTGGGAGAGAACAAACCAGATTCCTTCAGTGGATGAGGAAATCAGGAAGAAGTGGTGGAAGTGGATAGGACACACATTACGAAAAGCACCTAGCTGAGTCACAAGACAAGCCCTCACACGGAACCCCCAAGGCAAAAGGAAAAGAGGAAGGCCGAGGAACACATTACGCCGAGAAATAGAGAAAGATATGAGAGGAGTGAACAAACATTGGACAGAACTGGAGAGGGAAGCCCAGGACAGAGTTGGTTGGAGAAAACTGGTGGGCGGCCTATGCTACATTAGGGGTAACAGGCGAAAGTAAGTATCATCGTAAGGAGCATGAGGTTACATTACCTCGAAAACTGAAGTCATGCTTAGCCAGACATTCAAGACCAATGAGTAACATATACACTGAGATCAAAGATTAAAAACTAGACTCAAATAGGTGGCAAGTTGGTAACGAGATCTTTGATAACCAGAGACCAAGCATGCAGTCTACACTCCGTGATTTCTCCCTGTTGAAGCTCGGAGTGCGTATCACAATGTTACACGGCTGTCGTGTATCATCAGCGTAGTACGTACCGACTTTAACTGCAGTAACCATCTTTCTTAAGTATTCTGGGCTTGTCGGCAAATAAACCACTGGAGTGATTACAATCCAGATCATTTTTCAGATACATACCTAGCGGTGTCTGCAAATGCATCCTCTTGTTGATGCTATTGTTATACAAACTATGGGATAATAGGACCCAAGATGGCTCTTGAATACCTTGAGCGAGAACGAACTTGACACTACTAGGGCGCAAACCTGCTAAGATCGATTTACCTCAAGTCATCCGTGTCCCATCGTATCCCTGCCTTACGTCAATAGACAGCGAAGACTACTGAAACCGTCACTACTCTTATTCCTAGGTAAATCGAAAGTCTAAGAAACAAGGTAACAATGGTAGCCAACTACATCTACCAAATGGTTTAGACATATCGGCCGGATGACTATGAGCCTGTGAATCACAGATCATTCATAGTGAGTGCCAAAGCGCCCACCGAGCACGATCCGGACACCGAAACATTACCCTCCAAAGAGCACGTCAATAAGCAAAAAGTGAGGACTGCAACACAAAAACCACCATCTAGACACCCTACTTCACCAAGCAGATTGTATGCAAGCAACTAACCCATAGCTTATCGAAGATGTTAGCAAACAGTTCATCGGATCAATCTGAATTTGCGCAGATCTTGACAACTCTTTCGCGAACGATAACCCCGACATCGTGTAAACTGAATAATGGTGCTGGCATTGACGTATCTTGCCGTCTTACTTTCTTAAACTAGTTATTCCCAAGACAAGCTCAAGAAAGTAAACACAGGGCGGGGCCTCCTTCAACTTTCCGAATAGTCTGGGGCATATGAGAGCCCTAGCAGAAAACGCCGCAAGAACCAACACAGAACAACCGACCTACTATTGAGAAGAGGCTAAGTTGGAAACAAGTCGATTTAATTATTTTGAAAAGCTATGACCAAAAGTAGAAAAGATTTAGGTGGTAACGCAAATAAGATGTGTACATAAACGTTTATTAGAAATGCATAGATGAGTATAGGCTAATATGAACCGGAACGAGATCGTGATAAAGAACCACGCCTATGTGCAGGACTTCTAGAGACAGCACGGTTATCTCTGCGATCGTTGCGACGACTGCCCTTACGTACTTCATCACCATTATCCATCCCATCATGACTTGCAGACCGCGACCTAGTGGGAGACCTTGATCTTGAAGCCGATCGATTGGGACGCACATTGTTTACCCGCCTTCGCGAATCATCTCGACGGTCATTAGGACGACCACGATAGTACGGTTCGACCCCCTTTTGTCTAGAATTGGAGTAAGATCTAACCACAATTAGTAACAGACAGAAGACACTTACCTAGAACGGGATCTGGAACGATATTTCCTCCCACCTCGGTGAGGCTCATCACGCCTTTCTTTTAAGCGCATCTCGGCAGGAGCTGTCAAATGAAAACCGAAAAGGAAGCATTAGTCAAAACAAATACACAAAAGGCTATAAGTAACTTCCTAGCTTTGTACATTTAGTTGTACCATTGTAGTATTACTGGCAGTCTACATTTAGGAGTTTCAAATATCCTTAATGTTTATTTGGCTTTATAAGTCGAAAATTAATTAATAAATACATAAGACAACGAACTCAGAAACTAAAGTGTCCTTACTTTTACGATAACCTCGGGTAAACTCGACTTCAATATCGCGACCCATGAACCGTGTGTGGTCCATATAGTAATGGGCATCTTCAGCGTCTCTAGGATTCTCGAACGTTAGGTGTTAGTTAAGGACACAAAAAAGCATTTACAAACCAAGATACTCACCAAAAAATGTCTTGAAACAGGATCCTATGTCATTGTACATGGATTGATTGGGGGGACTGCCCTGATTTTGTCAACTTAGATTTATTTGCAAACTAATACAATTGAACTAGCTTGGCAGCTGCAATCGGTGACCAACTGATCCCGACAAATTGAGTTTGTGTGAAACTTTGTAATTTAGCCAGTTTGGAATTTTATTTGGATTGAAATTGTATACATGTATTTTGACCACTGAGTACTCTGTAAGTACGCGAGCTGCCATATCCCTTGTTCAACTAGACTGATTGTTTATTTAGTGACGAATAGAGTCTATGATTATTGGTTGACTGTTTGAAACTGACTGGCAACTGAGCCGATCAATTGGTGACTTTGGCTTGAGCTTAGTCGTGCCTGTGAGACGAATACGCAAACATTGAGATTAAATATATTGACGCAAGGCAAATGCAAAATGAAATATTATATAGTAAAAGGATATTCAATAAATGCGTAGCCCTTCATTCTGCCAGTGAAGAAATCAAGTGGTATTGTTACATCAACAATTCTGCCATAACGGCCAAAGCAGCGTCTCAGGTCATCATGTCTAAAACAGGTGAGAACAACTTGGATCTACTACAAACCTGCACGTGTCTGGGAGATGTCGGATATACAGAGAAGAGCTCCTTCGAGGCATTCGGCGTCTAAGGCAACGAAACTCCTTGTATGGCCGCAACGATTAAAACAACTGGCTACTGATCAATATACATTTATGGATGCTACAAACATTTGAAATTTTGCCGTATGGATATAAGCCTGGGAACCTGTAGAAGCTTCTTCCTAGTATATTACTTTATGTATTTAGTTTGTTCTTGGATGAATGAAGGTCATAGCCTTTAATGCTACCAAGACATAAGATTCATATATCAGATTTACCTTTGTTGGTCCTTTTCCAGTAAGCTTTTGAGAGTGTCTGTTGGAAGCGCTGACACCCTGTCCTCGGCTAATATTTTCCAGGAGTTGACGCTGGGTGTTGAAAACTGTATAATAAAAAAAAACTGTATAATATGTTCACCCACGACTTCTGTAGTAGCCTACTATGTCTTGTTAATTGTCTTGAACTAGTAGGTAGAAAAAGAAAGCATATATCAGATCCAAAATAATTCTTCAGTGTATTATACACCAAAATCAGATCGCCTGTTGTTCTGTAGTAGGATAGAGTAAACATCTTACTTTTTAGCCTAAACACAGTACTTTACCGGTCTTTGTTTCCCCAAACTGTTTGTAGATACACTTGACAGACTTGATAGGCATCACCTGTTTTAGGCTAGCTAACTAAGACGTATATATCAGTCGGAATTCTTCTTTCGTCTTCATCCCTGCTGTTTATCGTCAAATACTTAGATCTCCGATGTAAAGTCAATTATATAAATGTACCCAATAGGTGAGATTAATTTTAGATTGGTTTTTTAGTAGAGGTAGACACTGTTCAGATATCAGAACAACTACCTTAACAGTATAGCTCAAACTTAGTGCTCATCCACAAAGGTACCTGGCACAGTGGTGGACTGTGTGTAGCCTTCCTAAGGTTACTGCCGGTCCTAAGCAGGGATAAAGGAGGAGGGTTGGCATGGGGTTAGCGATCCCATCCGCAGAAGAATAGCTTACTATACAGTACTGACCAGAAGAAATGATTCAAACCATACACCCTCTGCCCTTGGTTTTAGACGGTCTACATTCAGGAGAGTTTTGAATTCTCATGTTGCAAGCCAATTTTCTTCAGAAGTCATGAAGCTGATGCTCATTCTTACAACCAGAGTAGCCATCACTGTAAGTACGTGGAATGTTCATGCCTTATGGAAGGACAGGATAGTCATCCGAGTTGCGACAGAAGTGAAAGGATAAAATCTGATAGTACTTATAACCAGTGAAACGCATTGGACGCGAATTGGACCAAAACGACTAGCTCCAAAAGGGATGTAGAATCTGTTTTGAAGGCTTTGTTTTTGGAAAATCCCTCAATGTATATATATATTTGTGTTATGATATGACTGACTCTTTCTGCTGATATTTTGGGACTCTATTTGATTCCATTTTGAGATTTTATCATTTGTATATTGTTATTATTTCTATATCTTGTACTTATATTGAAGTTTCAGTGTTTCCTTCTGAACTATATGTGCTGTTTAAAATCGATATTTATTATGGCTACAGCCATATTTGGATTTGATACTCTAGCAGTAACTGACTGGAAGCACTTATTCTTCCAGCAACGAAACCTATTGTGGTAATTGGAAACTCGAAGGTGTAATATTGTTTTGGTAATTGTCTGAATTTCCACCTTTGATTAAATACAGAACCGTTCTCTCCCAGAATTATAGTTTTTGGAGTTGGACTGGGCGGGACGCGTATGAACCTACACCATTCGTGTTAAAAGCGGACTGCAGAAGTAATATATTCATTTTATAAGGGATGCTACTGTACATCTCCCATAAATAACTAAATGCTTCACACACACATGGGTTGGCGCTGACGCTATCCAGAAAAGCACAAAACCGACTGATATTATGGGGCTATCATGGGCCCATGATCATAAAAGCATCCTTCAAATGCATGCAATGGACATACCAACGATCATAATGAAGACGTTAAATATCAATTCTACGAGAGGCTACTGTCAATCGATGAGAAATGCTCAACAAAGCACTTGACCATTCTGATAGGAAACTTAGATGTCAGGGTTGGAATGCATAACACTAGATATGAAGACATCATTGGATGACATGGACTGGGAGAAGGGAACGAAAATGGTGGGAGATTTGCAAGCCTATGTGCCTTCAACCAACTGATCTTAGGTGGTACCATATACCAACATAAACGCATGCACAAAGCCGAATTGATTTCACCGGATCGCATTGCCTAATCGACCGCATCAGCAGCATTATAAAGTCCAGAAGGACCTTGGAAGACATTAGAACCAAGAGGGCAGCCGACATAGCTCCAATTTATCACTTGATAGTGGCCAAGACGAAAGTGAAACGCGGCGGACAGCATTAAAAAAGTTTAATAAGGCCTTTCTCCAGGTTACTGGCAAGCTCAACGAACTCAAGTTGGTCCTCAGCAATAGCTTCCAGGTTTTTCATGATCCCTTCAAAGAAGAGGAAACTACCGTGTACAACAGCTGGAAAGGGGTTAAAGAAGCAATCACTTCAAAATGTCACGAAGTTTTCGGAACACCGGAAGTACCATCACAAGGAATGAATCTCTGTCGGTACTCTTGAAAACATTCTAGAAAGGAGGAACAAGAAGTCAGCAATCAAGCTCAGCCGGATAAGAGCAGATAAAGCCGAGGTGCAGGCTAAAAACACAGCAGCAAAGAAACAAATGGAGAGGAGGATCTGTTAGGTTCGTCACTATGTATGCTTGAAACGATTAATGGTTTACCTTAGTCAATAAACGCGGACAAGACAATGAAGCAGCGTCCAGATAGGCTACCCTGATCTGCTGACTAAAAAAATCCTTGATGTAGCGTAGAAAGTATATTCTGCAAACGAGATATAGCACTTTTGGTCGCGAACTGCTAGCAGCCTACTGTGACATCAAACATTTTCGGCATTCAGTAGAAGGTCGTAATTTTATCCTTTTCACCGATCATGAGCCTCTAACGGATGCTTTACATACCAGGTCTGACCGCTACTCACGACGACAGTCCAGACATTTGGATTATATATCTCAGTTCAGAAAGGACCTTCGTCATATTATAGGCGAGTCGAACTATGCTGCCGATGCTCTTTCGTGTTCAAGTAAATGCAGTTACTTCACCAGTGCTCAATCTTCCTGCTATGGCCGCTGTCCAAGCAAATGCTCTCTCTTGTACAGAAGCACAACAATCGACATCTCTTCAGTGCCAGGAAATACCACTAACTACCACCTCAGGTACTATCCTGTGTGACAATTCTGCTGATTTACCCCGACCTATTGTACCTTCTGCTCATCGTCATCTCGTCTTCGACCCCCTTCATGGTTTGTCTCATGCAGGTATCGCAGCCACCTTACGTCTCGTCGCTGCACGATTCGTCTGGCCTTCCATGAATAAAGATGTCTGTGTGTAGGTGAAGCAGTGCTTACATTATCACCGATCAAAAGTTCACAGGCACGTTGCCGCCCCTACCGGCACATTTGCTACGCCTGATGCTCGCTTCGAACATGTTCATATAGGCATTGTTGGACCATTGCCACCATAGCGTGGGTACGATCACGTACTCATGAGCATCGATCGTTTCACAAGATGGCCAGGAGCTGTTCCCATCACTTCGATTACAGCAGAAACAGTTGCTCACGACTTCGTAGAACGATGGATAGCGCCAGCTTGAAAGTGCTTTTCGAACACACGAAAACAAAAATTGCTAAGAAACCTCACCTCTCGTCCTCCTAGGTATTAGAACGAGTTTTAAGGCAGATAATCAATCATCCGCAGCTGAATTGGTATACGGCACAACATTTCGTCTGCCTGGGGAATTTTTCACACCACGGAGCACTATAATAATAATAATAATATATATATTTATTCTCAAATAACTACGTTACAAGAGTCACGCCAGTTTACAGGCTAGATCAAATTGTCACAAATGCTTTCACAATTACTGTAAAAGTTATAGCAGTTGAATTAAGTATAAGAGTCATTTTCTGATAGCATATTTACACCATGTCACTGACAGAAACAGTATAATACAGCCACGTTTTCAATAGGAAAATACAGATAAGGAGGGTGCACAATAGGTTCTATTGGCGATTTGCCGAGATCAATAGTGAATTTGTTGGAAAAGGTCATATGGAACGCGCTTGATACGAGCTGTGATCCAGACAGTCATGTACATTAGGGTGCATGTTCCCTAGAG